CTGAATAATATAGATACACTTCCTACGTCATGTTACTATAATCAAAATGTAGTTGATGGGGTAAAAAGTGATATTAATTAGGGTAATCAATCACAGTGGGACATCAAAGCGTGCTGTATTGAAAATGCAACATGCTGTTCAAAGGAACCGGTCGAATTAAAATAGTCTTCATCATTACACTTCTGTATTCATATGTCCAATTAAATTTAAATTTAAGTATAATAACGACTAATGTATTTAGTACATATTTCGTCCCCTTTCCATCATTTGGAATTTAAAAAGTATCTTAATATGGGTAGTGTATTCATCTTTTTCTGAGCGAGTTAGCGCCCAATATGTCACAATCTGAACACTGATTAAGGAAATAGAAAAGAACCTAACCAGCATCTTGAAAATATCGCAGAAAACTCGTTCTTAACAGCTTCCAGCTTGGAGTAACATCACGCAACGAGTTCTCATGACCGATACTAACTCCTAACGATAGTCATTGCTTGGTGCAAATCTTTAGAGGACGATATACATGGCAAGTTTTTGTTTAATGATGGGGAGCAGTGACGATACTTTCAACGACTTACGTTACCGTTCTAGCGCCCTCATCTGAGAGGTATTGGATATACAAGCCAAACCCTCAATATATCATCTCCAGCTTTTTTATTAGTCGTGGGGGACTCAAACAAGCAATAAAATTAACTTACATAAAAATTCAAATCCAGAAAAATTGAGATAAATCCGGGAAATACAAAAAAAACGCAAATTTGAAACAAAATCTGATAAAATTTAAATTAAAAAATGGAAAATACAAGGAAATTTAAAAAAATGCATTAAAATGTAGAAGTATTCGGAAAATTCACAAAAATGCAAAGAATTCAGATTAATTCACAAAAATTCAAATTCCTATAAATTCAATGAAATTCACAAAAATGTGAAAATACATGCAATTGTATAGAAATTCGGTTCTCTAATTATTATTATGTATTAAAATTCAAAATGTATTGTAAAAGTGAAACACAAAAATACGGGTTTCTCAAATAAAGCAAAGGAAGCATCTCGAGTTTCACAGTATTTCGTAGTTGAGTATAGCATAGTTCCAAAGTTTGATACGCGAGATAGCTGTGAGAATCTTCAGTTCTTGTAAGCAGAGAACCTAAAAAGCTCTGGAAAGGGTATATCAGTGGCAACTCAGGGATGCTTCAAAATACCTAAAAAACCTGTATACTCTGGAACACCTTCGAAAGATTTGAAAAACGCGTGCATAGTTGTGGAAAGCATTTATAATTCTATTTAGAGTCTAAACTCTCCACGAAATTTCTTGGGGTGTCTTATAGGATCTTTTTGGATCGTTACTTGAGCTAGGCTTTGCAAAGTGTCAAGCGTGTTTTTGATGAAACCTAGTAGACATTGGAGGGGGCGTAGAAATCATGATCCATTAAAAGGCTCTAGGAAGAGATTCAAAATCTTGGTAAAGGGAATATAAAACGCCACAAAAGCCTAGAAAGTTCAGATGTAAGCCAAAACCTGGATAAAAACATGGAACAGGGAGATGAATTAGTCTAACTCTAAGTGTCTTTCAGTCGCTACAAAGGACCTGGAAAGTTCTATAAGTGGTCTACTCGATAGAAAATATTTTCGAAAGAGAATTGACTTTTGCAGAGACCTAACCGAATGGGGAAAGTTTCCAAGGGCTCATTTCAAGGGGTTATTTCCAAAGCGTGATAGGTTCTTTTCATGACTGGACCAGCATAGAAAAATTAGAAAAGGCCCAGACAGTTCTAGAACGGATAAGTTGTGCTCTGAAAGGGAAGTATTTTAAATCACACAATGAACAGTAATTTCTTGAACTGGTTGCTATTTTATGTACTTAATATTTATTGTATGTCATAGTTTAACGTCCTATTAATTGCGTGTACCAAGACGCATCATACAATATTATAAATTGTCCAAAGGAATATTATGCTATTATTAATATAACCAGAAGAATCTTGGGGAGGTCTAAAACGCTCTAGAAGAAGGTTTGAAATTATCAGCCGCATCTTTAATTCCTGAAGACCTCTTGGCGACCCAGCTTTTAAGGCTTTTAAACGCTACAATAAGCTTCGTAAAAACTCTATAGCGTATTATAGAAGGCTCAGTAGGATTTTAGACACCCTTCGAGAAATATCCCGAGGACAGTCATAGGAGAATTTAACGATCACTCTTAAAATCTTAATATTCATACTCGTAAATACTCTTACACTAATAATTTTCGAAACACGCGAGTCTTAAGAGTCCATAAGCCTAAAAGGTCTCTGAGACTTTTAAGAATTCATAAAATTTTACGGATCTTAAATGCCTTTCTATAAAAGGTTGCAACAGTCTCTTAAGAGTTATTTTTAATCCCTTAAAAACCGAGTTAAAAACCATCAAATATGAATGGCCTGGACCTTTTTGGAAGGCTTTTTCTTAAAGGCATCTCTCAAAAACAATCAAACGCTTTTAAAGGGTTCGTGTAACGAAACAACCGTTTTCCGCCCTGAAGTTACATACCCAAAGTTATGACCGCACCGTATATTTGTGAAGTCGGCCAGCATTGCTGAATACTCTGCATCTAGAAGCGATTTAAGCTGGCCGCTTCGTTACTAAACATTGTAGGTTCGAAATTTACTTATTTGCTCTAGGAGATGAGGTGTGTTTCGTGTTTTCATTTTTGCTTAATTGTTTATTTTACTGCCGATTTTGTTTGCTATGGTAAATTTTAAACGAGTATTAAAGACTGCAACGTCGTGCAGTTTTCTTAAATGCCAGGTGATATCTTGACATCGCCGATGGCACTTAAATTCCTGAGGGACAATGGGTGCAAATTAGAATTCCGTTTGCCGAAACTTCCATCTGGTAAAACGAGTGAGTACAATAGTGACAATCAATTTTAATGAGTTGCAGTGAACGTTATCAGAAATAGTCGGGAGAGGTGCCCCTGGACGCGCTCTAATTTGCGAGCTATTTGCATATTTTTCCTATATCGGGTAAGGGGATAAGTAATTAAGAACAGTTTAATTTAGTTGAATGTATGTAAGCACAGATAAAATACTGTGATGTAAGGTACAAGCGTAGGAAATGGGAATTCGAGATACTCCCTACTTTTGCAACTGTAACATATTTAGATCTTTATGCCCGTACTCATTGGATTTGGCCTTTATCAACTTTCTTGCAACTTTCCCGTAATTGTTTTCCACCGTTTTCGCCGATTTGGATTTTGTTGCTTTCGCTCCCAATAATTAGGGAGTCTGCCATAATTTTGTTTAGTTTTGCCGAAGTGACCGCCGCCCTCTGCTGAACCCGACAGATTCCTTGCTGCCGTTTCTTCGGTTGCGTTTACCCTTGGTTACCGACACCGGCCCGCCAGTCCGTTGGCTACTGCCGACCTCGACCCCGCGCGAGATTTTTCCTTGACGGCGCCCGACCCCGTCCGTTCATGCCGTTTCTTGCCACCGTTCCGCCGACAAGTCAGGTTGCCGCCGACTGTCGCTGCTGTGTTTATTAATCACTATAATTTGTATATTTATTTATTTATGTAAATTAAATTCCAATAATTATTCTGCTAATAGTCTTTAATTTTAAAGCACACCGACTTTGCGTCGCAGTAGGCTGACTTCTTCTGACTTTTAAAAATTCCTTAGTGCTCTTGGAATACATTACAACACTTATACCCATGTATCTCGAGAGTTTTAATTGCCTCAGTCTTTAATGTTCAAGAATTAAATATCTTTAACGATGCTCTAAAATACCCTTATTCTTATAGGCCGTCAGATGCTCTCAAAACCAATAGAATGGTGTTAAAATCATTGAAAACTCCTGAAACGACATATGGGACTCATTAAGGTTTATTATAAAGGTAGTGGTTGATCCATCGTCTCGTATTTGGGATGTAGTTAAATGAAATCTTATCTCATTTATTATAAAGGTAATTAAAAAAGAAACACATCCCCATACATCGTTTTTAATTACCTTTAAAATAAGGTGAAACCCACCCAGTATAGGGTTTGCAATTTAAACATTTTAGGGTCATCGTCCCCTAAAAAAAACTCCCCAGTTGAAATTTTAAACCATCTGAAATGCAGTGTTTATGACCTTTCACTGATCCCAAAATTGTCTTCACTCGTTTGGATCTTGTAGTTCCGTCGCGGGACTTTTGGGGAATTCTGTACATGTGTAACTGCAGTAGCTTTTAACAATCAGAGACATGGAATGAATGATTATTTATAAAAACTTGTAATTGGTTTACCTATGTTAATTAGGCTGACGTAAGTAGTGTGTGATGAAACATTTGCATTAACATATTCATAACGGACAAGAATTAATGCAACGATTTTTAATATTAGCGATGTTATACTTTGGCAATAAGTTGCGTAATTCGTAAAAATTCGTCGCATATATCTCCCACGTAAACAGGTACCTATTTTTTTTCTGCGCGAACCTGAAGAAAATAAAGAGTGTTTACATTTTCGAAGATATACACTTAAATGAGATAAAATATGGATGTAAATCCTACTTCTTATTCCATTATCTCGATTCACGCACTTCGTTACGTGGGAGCACAAATTCAATTTACTTAATCAATACTTTAACAATTTGAGTTTGGAGTTTATGTATGTAACTTCCTTCATGGGTAATGGTGTCTTGCGAAAGTAACTCGAGAGTCGCGACGTCTACAAATTGCTTGCATGGTATGTTTAAGTGCTTATGGATACAATAAATTGCAATTTAACGCCCCAATACGTTTTTGTTATATACCGTCGTAAGTGCAGTATATCTTCGCAGTATTACATATTTACAAAATAACGGTGCTTGCAAATATGCAAAATGGTTTGCTCTCCCAAATGACGTGGAGCAGAGCACGTGCCCAATTTAAAAAGAAAAGTGTGATTCTTCGTATAAAGGGGGTTCACAGCATGCAAATAAAAGTACACAATGCTTGTTATAGGCGGCCACATGGTATGACTGCCGTAAAATCATTATTAACTTACCCAGTGAATGTACCCAAATTAGTTCCTCCTACCCATCAGGAATAAAACGAATACTCCAATTCTGAAACAAAAAGAACATTGTCATTTGGAAATTACGACTCAAACTAATGCTATATAGGTGTAAAGATCGTAAGCTACCGACTGTTAGCAATCAGACTCAATTTAGTCCCAAAAACTTCCCCATCAAGTAGGTACTTCTCCTTATCCCGTCGATCAAGTGGCACATTTAGCGTTTTACTTTAATGACAGCAGCACCGATTTACGTGAAAAAAGACACGGAGTAGCGTTTACACATGCTTTATGTTTTAATCAATCTACTATAGCAGGGCGTGTGGCGATGTGAGTAACGATAAAAGTCAAATAAATGAAACTGTATTATGAGATACATATATAATGCGCTATTGAAAAAACAAACAAACAACCCCTATAATTCCTGCAGGATATTAAACTTAATGGTCTTGTTTGTATTGAAAAACAAAAGTTTGTTTTAAAATTGGTACTGGAATCACTTTTGCCTTTCCAATTGAGAAACACGGCGGCACGTACACTGAATCGGAAATGTGTACCGAAGAAGCTGCGTGAACTATCGGTAACAATAAGAAGGAAGGAAGGGTATTACGATTCATATGTTCACTTTAAGGGTGGAACTATGAAAAGCAAAAAGAGATACCGACCTGCGTAGCTCAGAGGAGTTTACGCAATAGTGGTTTTAACTTTGGCTAACTCTACTAGAATTGCTACTAGTCCTGCGTGATATGGAACAGTACACGAACCAAGTACTTTCATTTTTAGCTTAGCTAAGTTTAATGAGGTATTAAAAAATATACGAAGAATCGCATTCGATTTTCGATAGGGGAATTTTTTAACAACACTCTGCTCGCATTCGGAAACGCGACTTTTAATCCGGCTCGTTCTCAATTTAGACGTCTGAATTTCTCGCATTAACAATTTCTTGGTTCTTTCAATTTGACATATAATATTGCATAGATTTTTTTTCTACGCGCCTTATAAATATAAATATTAAAAAACTGTCCCAACTGGGAGGATATATTTTAAATATATATTCATAAAAAAATTTTTTGGAGGTTGTCACTTTCCAAAAAAATGTGTGTTTGAAGTTTGAAGTTTATTTATTTCCAATAGATTACATAAATGTAATATATGACATGTCAAAATTTACATTGGTACATATAAAACATACAAAACGTTACAACGAATTAAAATATTCTTCAAGGGAATAAAATTCCTTCTCCAGTAGGTATGATATTAATGCGCGTTTAAAGCTTTTTAATGTTGGTAATTGTAACGAGTGGTTTTATTTCGCGCCAAATTTCATTAAAAAATTCGAAATTTCTTGTCATGATAGTGCAGGTCACCCTGTATATTTCATTATTTGTTCCGGTTAGAAATTTTGTGTTTGGGCATTTCGGTTCGCTCAAGACTATGGTCCGATAGATTTAATTTCGCTCAGATTTAATTTCGTCGTGGGAAGAGTGCAAAGTTGATTGACGTCATCATGAGTAATGCGAGTTTTTGTCGTTCGTTTATCACCCAAGGCGCCGTCTAGACCGAGAATAGGAGCGGATATAGCACCGAGCCATCAAGAGATAAGGGGTTTTAAATTCGTCAGCAGAAAACCGTGAGATCAGTTTATTCAGCAGTTCCTGGAGGTTGACGACGAAGTTAGAGTGGGTTAAGTCTTCTTTATCTAAACCAATGGGAGAATTTCTAGCGGGAGCCATTTTTGTTTTATGGTAATTTGGGTGTGGTTTTCTCATTTCAATTCTGAAGAAGGGGAGCGTTTTTGAAGAGACTCGCGGTTAGTACGTCGAGGGGTCAACACGTACTTTGAGTGATCGCGTTTTGAAAAGACTCGCGGTTAGTACGTCAAGCGGTCAACACGTACCTTGAGCGATCGTTTTGGTACACTTAGCGTTTTGAGCCACCGGTTTATTTCGGTTGCTCGCAGTTGCGTGCTTTTTGCACCCGTTTCGAAGTGTTATTTTCTTTTCGCGTTGATTTTTTGGCGACGAAGACCCAGGTTCCGATCAGGTGATATTTTGGCGAACCCTTGAGCTTCACCCCAGTTTACTTTGGATGCAGTGAATCGCGTTAGGATACGTTGTGATTTCTCGAGGATATATAATTCAAAGTGCTGCCCTAGTCTTCAAGGCGCCGATATTCGGGATCCGCCCCAGGTGGAATTTCCTACTAGTGCCGTACGGTCATTTGTCGAAGTAGCGCTGCGTTTTGGAGAGATATTTGTCCCAAGAAGAGCTGGTGAAATAATACGTCGAACCACCCAAGAACAAATCGCGGTTTACCGTCGGATAGTAATCATAAAAATTTGTGTTCTGCCGTGCCGCTAACTCAAAAATCTGTCTCCCGCAGGCGATCAAAGTTAATAAACTCTAAGAGCCGGTGGAAGGAAATAGTAGGGGTCACTGTTTAAATTAAATACACCTGCTGTGTAGAAACTTTGGCAACTAGCCGTCTCCCACTCGCCACGCGAAGGATTTCCTGGACTAAGCTTCAGTTCAAACACTAAACTTTGCTTTCGTTCCGAGGAAGGATAGGCACCGTGGATTTTGTTTCCGTGTGTTAATTTCAAGCCACCCCCTAGGAAGTCACAGAGACCTAAGTGTCAGGTTTCATCACATCCACCCTGTACCAGAGGAAAGAGCAGTTCACAAGATCGGCTGTACAAATGTTGTAAAGGTTAGTCTAATTAAATTTGTAACGTTCTGTAAAATTCCACTTTTTGGTAATGAAGCTATAGAAAAAATTTTGATTTGATTGTTTATTAAAGTCCAATGAACGATTACCAAAGAGTAGGATAAATTTTTGTGTTTATTTAAATAAGTCCCAGCCCACGCTGGAGTAAAAAACGATTACCTGTTGTTGAAATTTTCAAACTGTAGAGGATGGCCACCCCTTGAGTAAATTAGTCTCACCTGGTAGGATTTTTTATTTAGTTTAGTTGTCATTGTTAAGCTATTGTTTTTACAAGGAGGAGAGAAGAACTGCTAGATCCCTGTAATTTGTTTGTATCTCTAATATCATTTAAATATATTATCTATTTGGGTTCAATGTGCCTATGTCTTTAACGAAGAACGAGGGGAAGGAAAGAGAGGAGTAGGAGTTGAGGCAGGAGACTGGTAGGCGGCAGGTTAAGGTTTGTTACGCAGTTTCAAAAGAGTTAAAAGCCCACCGATTTGAGTTAGCCGGAGCATTTATTTTCATTGATTGAGCAGCCTGAGAAGAAGACGGTTTGCCTTGCCGGGCGGAACCGATGGTAATTTTCAAGTCCAGAAGGAACCCCCGTAGCATAATTTATTGAACAGTTTTTTACCAAGTATATATGGTGATTTGGCTTTTATGTTACCTCTGGAGAAGGATATGCGGAGGTCATTACAGTTCCTGGTTGCCCTGTTATGTAATTCGATATTTTTTTGTAGGATTGCAAATTACTAAATACGTAAACACACATTTCTAAAATAAACAAACAAGGAAGAGTTAAAATATTGAATTTTCTAAAATAGGTCCTACAACTGGTCCGCCGAGAAATGTTAGCTATGGTACGAATTAGCTTCTTTTGGGAAATGAATACATTGGCACAATGCGAGGACGCTCCCCAGAAACATATGCCGTATCTTAATCTGGATTCGGCTTGAGCGCGGTATAACATAATTAATTGTTTATGGGACAGCACAGAACTTAACGACCTCAGTAAATAGTTTGTAGAATGCATTTTCTTAATAACCACCTGGCACTGCTTTTCCCATGTTAGACATTCATCAAAATAAATACCAAGAAATCTGACGAATGGAACGAACTCTATGTTTTCGTTATTGTAATATATTTCTATGGGTGACGCTTTTGCCTATTGTGAAACCGGACAGATTCAGTCTTTTTTGGATTTAAGAACAATGAATTTTTTTAAAACCAGTCATGCAAATTATATAATAGACCGTTACACTGTTCCGCAAGTTTGATATTTGATTTACTAGAAACTAACAGTGAGGTGTCATCAGCATATAGTGTGATATTAATCGTAGGTTCTACTTTAATGATATCATCTATATATAAGAGAAACAGTATAGGTCCTAGAATCGAACCTTGTGAAACACCTTTATTAATCACTAAACATTCCGAATTAGTAACGGAGATATTAACATACTGTTTCCTGCCTTTCAGATACGAAACTAGCCAACTGTAGGCTGTTCCTTTTATCCCCAAGCATTCCACTTTATGAAGTAAAGTATCATGATCCACGCAGTTGTCTTGTACCTCTTGATTTCCACAACTATCTTCGTGTTGCAAAGTAGTTCAGCTTCTGTACTATCGTCATGTTTTATTTCGTTTTAAAAACTGGTAGATGGCGAATATTCAGATTCATATTCAGATGAATTATGATCATTTTCCGCACCCTCAGCTTTCCTCTTAGATTTCTGGAGGAAACCTGACTCTCTAGGGCTTCCTTTTACAAGTTCTTGTCCCTTCTTTAGGAAATATATCATTATCTTTACTACTACCACAGATTGCACTACCTATTATATTACGTTATATTCGATCTAATCGTTGAATGATTTCTTTCAGGCTAAAATTTACTTTGTGCTACGCTGTATCAAATGTTCTACAACCGTACTCTTATTTCTCCTGGTGAAGGGCGTTGCCGCTGAATCCATTACTTTTAGGAGGAGAAAAAAGCCATTCTGATGACCTATCGCAGGCCCTTAAAAAATTCAAGGTGGCGGTGGTACTCAAAATGCATGTGGCAAAAAAATTATTAACCTCAAAGTATGTGAAATAATTTCAAATGGGAGCGTTCTAATTTTCATGTCTATATCTCAAACAGTTTGAGCGTGAAAGCTTTGATTCCATCTTTAATCCCGACCCTGTATAATATTTAATTTGGTTTTCGGTAGAGCGCGGTGATAAAAATGATTAACTATAAAAACGACGAATCTACTACGCAAAAGCTTAGTTGAAGATTATACCTCTATTTTGATTTCTTTGCCAACCATATACGCTTACTAAAAGTGTTTCTCGTTTATAATC